ATCTCTGCAGCTTGAGGTTCATAGAACATTATTCAGTGTAGCTGACATAGGTAAAAACACTTCACTAGAAGTGACCATAAAATTGGAGTGTTTTCCTCTGTCCCTGGAAAGACTTTTTCAGAGATTTCCTGATASTGTGTGATCATATGAAATGCTGTGAAATGCCTGACCACAAAGGGGGTTATTGCAAGTGATTGTAATAAAATATCTCCTCACTTGACACTGGCTTTCAGATGTGTGTTTGGGGTTTAAGTCTTTSAGATTAGCTGAGCCCCAAACTGCTGGGTTATTTGGTGCAAAGGAAGGTTTTGCTCACAGCTTGAAATAGTGGATGGTGTTTGAGATGAAATCAGAGCTGGAGCACTGGGGACAGGSACTGCCAGAACCTGATGGAATCGTGTGCTCCACTCCCCTTTCCATGCTTTAACCCCAAAACACTTGGAAAATAAAAAACCAGTGCAGTGACAGCGTGCTCTGATTGGCCTCAGGAACAGCTCCTGTGCTGATGGATTGGCTGTTGTTTGGGAGCTAATCTCTAATGGCAGGCTGATAACGGAGAAAAATGATCACATTTATCAGGGATAAGAAGAATATTTTCTTCTTGTCTGTTTAAATCAGGATGTTTATCTGACATGAGTGTATTTTCAACCTGGAAATGTGCGGATGGAAGGACTGTCCCACCTGATTTTGTCCCTGCATGGAATTAGATAATTCCAGGATGGTTTGGGTAGGAAGAGACACCTTCCACTATCCCAGGGTGCTCCAAGCCCTGTCCAGCCTGGCCTTTGACACTTCCAGGAATCCAGGGGCAGCCACAGCTTCTCTGGGAACCTGTGCCAAGGCCTCCTCACCCTCTCAGGGAAGGATTTTTCGTGGTTTCTGCTTCTCTTGTTTAGCTTAAAGCCATAGTAAAGTAACATTAATACATATTACTTACAAAAATACCATATTGTCCTTTTTAGAGCTGTCTTAGACATCATCTTGGAACATTCAAAACAGAAAGTGTCTGTAGGTTCCTGGTGAATTGTGGAATAGAAGCTGCTTGCTTCTGTCAGGTTTGGCTGCTCACAGCMCTCTCCTTGTTGCTGTGTTTACTCATTTCTTACATTATCCCTTTTCATTATCTTTCATTATCCCTTACATTATCCCTTTACATTATCCCTCATTTTTTACATTATCCCAAGACCTTTCACTTGGGTCTGAGCTTTTCAGAGACTTTTCATCCCTGCAGGGCTCTCTCAGTGGAGACCCAATGGCTCTGACAGGTCTTGGAGGTACCAGTGACCCAAACCGTGGATCCTGAGAGCAGTGAAAAACATTTTCAGTGTAACACAGGCTGCACATTTTGCCCTGCTTAGTTATAATATAGCTCAGAATATGCATAATTACAATTACTTTATTTCACAATTTTACAATTTTACAATTTTTTAAATTTTACAATTACTTTATTTTCACAACGTGAAATAAAGTGCTGCAGGTTCCCCTTGGCCACTCCTGCAGCCCCGTGTGCCTTACTGGAGCCTGTTCCTAAAAGGGGTGTTTGTTCCCTTCCCGCGGGGACACTCACATCACTCCTCACTCCCAATTTCTCTGTGACAATGCTGGAAGTGTCACCCCTGGAACCACTGCCTCAGGCACCCAGCACCCGTGTTTGTGCTTAATTAGGGCTGCTCATTAGGGTGGGGCACATTGAGTCAGAGCCTTGATCTGCTCGAGCCAGGGATTACCCAGAGCCATCCCGGTGATGCGTGAGCACYCTTACTGCAAGAGGACCTCGTGGGCCTCTCCTGGAGAGGTTCTTATCATTTTGGCACCCTCCAGGCTTTTTCCCTCCTCAAACTGGCAGAGTAAAAGACACATCTGCAATGTGGAGCAGAGGGAGGAATCCATCCTGTGCCTCCCTTGGCTGCTGTGAGCACCGGATACGCGTCCTTGGGCATCGGCTTCCTACGTGGGATGTGGCTGATAATCCCGAGGAGGAGCTAATCCTATCACCAGTGGAGGGAAGGGCTTTGCAAATAAGGCCTGGGAATATCTGCTGGGAAATGGAAGCTCAGGAGGTGAAGAAATATTTTTGCCTGAAGACGGAAATAACGCAAAGCACCGAAGACATAACTTGGCTGTTGATTTTTGGTTCCTTGGATTGCTTGTCTAGTCTAGAAGGGGCTGCACTCAAAATATTTGGTCAGGGGGAAATATCTGCTAATTGGTGAAGGTCGGAACCTGCCTGCTTTTGGTGGGGTTTTTTGGGCGTACAGGGGACATTTCTGGTGTTGGCTCATGACTCCCTGTCCACTTTGCTGCCCTGATTGTGCAACAGCAGATGTGCAACGACTGAATCTTTGACATCCCCAGGAGTCCCAGGGATCCTAAGGACTTCCAGTTCCAAAACACACAGAGGAGCTCAGTGAGGAGCAGGGATGCAGTCCTGGTGTGATGGATGCTGCTCTGGATCCCAGCCCACCCTGGAAAGCAGCAYTTGGGAGCTGCAGCAGGAGCTGCTKTGAGAGTGAGAGTGCAGGAGGTGTTGGCTCTGCTCCTGTGCAGGGCACACCCATCTCATGGTGATAACGTGAGCCTGGGCTGCTCCTGATAAATTCACTGGATCAATGCTTTSCAGCTCCTCTGCAGGAAGCATCAGAGCCCCTCTGTTCCTATCTTGAACCTCCAAGCCTGAGCGAGCTCTTGGAGGAGAAGTTCCTCCTTTCATACCCGTTCTGAAGAAGAAAATAAACGATTTCTAAAGAGCTTATGAGTCATGAGTACCCGCCCTGCTGCCCCAGGGGTGCCTCCTCTGCTGTCACGTGAAGGCTCAGCCTTGCCAAGCCTCTGGAAAGCACAGGGAAAGTGTTCAGCTCCTGCACTGACTTCACCTGGCTGGGCTGCTGCKTTTACCTGGTGTCTCAGGTGTGATCTGATCTTGCTCCTGTGTCTCTGTGGGTGGCACAGTCAGTCTGTCTTTGCTCCCCCATAGAGAAAAATGTCTGTTTTAGCAGAAGTGTAGAATCCCCAGCAAAGTTCCTCAAACAGGCCCAGGCAGAAGTTGTCTGAGCTGTTGGAAATTGCCCTTCCCTGGGTGACTCAGGTCCCTGCTCTTYTGGAAACCGTTAATCCAGCACTGCTATGGCCTGGTTTAGTTGTTTATTCAGTTGGGGGGTGTTTGCAGGGAAGATTTAATCACTGCAATCCGAATGGGTTTGGGATGGAGTCAGGGCCAAGCAGGGGGCTGGCTGACCATCTGTGTGGTGTCAGACCTCTGCTTTTGCCTTTTTTATTGGTACTTGAACCACATCACCACTGTGTGTGCTCAAAGGAACCCCAGCAAGAGACAGGGCAAGAAGTGTAGGAAGTGCTGCATGAAGAAAGAAATCAAGTTTAACCCTAGGGAGGAGCATGACACTAAAAARCAAGGGCTGCATGGATGGGGCTGGAGGTGATGATTGCAACATAGATGGACACAGCAGACCACGCCAGGGTGCAGAGCAGGAATGTCACTGGTGGGAGGTACAAAGCCAGCGTGTCCTTGGAGGCTTGGTGACAATCCTGCTGCTCCCTGCAGAGCCACRGGGTTTTGTGTTTCAGACCTCAGGCAGAAGGGATTGGGGAGCACAATGTCTATAACTCAGTTTTTACTCACTTTTTCTGCCAAAAAACTGTTTCCATCTTCKTGTTTATTCAACATTTCAGCTTTACAAACTTGCCCCACTCCCATCCAACCCCCACAGCCTGGGTTCACACTCATTTAAAACACTCCTTAAAGTGCTGTTGGGACTGTGTTTGCACAGGTAGTGAGTTAAAATGCAAATTGAGTTTTGCAAGTCTGATCCCCTCTCCCTCCCTCCCTGTTTTCCCCCAAAGTGCTTAGGCAGGAGCTTTCATCCACATGGCTCAGAACAGAAACCAAACCSAGAGCCCTGCAGAGGTTTACAGGTGGTGATGAACTTGTTTGCACCATGGAGACAAAATGCTAAAATCTCCTTAAAGCCCTCAGCCTTTCATGCTGCTGGTTGCCTGAGGGGAATTAAAGTCCTTTGGATGTTGGAATGAAAGCGCTGCCGTGGATCCATCCTCTTGYTGCTCCCTGAAATCTCCTCCTGTCCCTGGTCTCCTGTTCCTACAGTGACTTCTGAACCCTGCTTTGAAGTCCTGTGTGGAAATCCACAGCGCAGAATCCTCAGAAATAAGAAAATTGTGGCTATTTAAGAAGCTTTTATTAATCTGTATTTTTCTCACCCTTCTTTAGAGTGTGTCTGGATCCCAGCCACTAGAAAACTTGGGTGTTTCTGCTGCAAATACTCCTGAATCCCATCCCAAGCCCTGCGGAGCACCAAGACCTGTCAATGGAGTTATTAACACGTAAGCTCTTAGTATTATCAGAATAGTTTGCTTTTATGATCTTGGCAACATTCCATTGGAAACCAGACTGTAACTGGGTTGGTAATAGTGTAAATGGTCTTTTTTTTTTTTTTCAAAAGTACAGTAGTAGATCCTGCCTGGAAACATTTTGGAGGAGATTGCTTGCTTGAGGTTTTCTGCTGCATTGTTTTGCTGAAAATGGAATTAAACAGGGCTGTGTTTACACGAACAAGCCCTGCAGGCAGCTCTGCACTGAGCATGGGCAAAACTTATTTCTTTATGAGTAGTTTTAATACATACATCTGCAAATTGTGTGATTCAAAGGYACTAATGCCCTGCTTGCAGATTTATCTGTAACCACTGACCCACTGTGTTGGAGTTACAGAGGGAATCCCATTGACTTGGGGAGTAAAACTTCCTAAATTTATTCTTTATTTCTCCAGCTGCTTTTTCTGTTGAGAAAGTCTTGAAGTGGTTAAATGAAAACAAGTGAAAGACAGACATTCCCCAATGCTACAGGGTTGAACCACTTGAAAACCCTTGAAAAAACATTGCACTTGCTCAGTGCCTTGAGGAGGCAGAGAAAAAGAGAGGGGAAAAGGGAAGGAGGGAGGGAGGGAGGGAGGGATCCTGCACCGCTGTAGTGTGAGCAGGCACAGGGAGATCAGATCAAGGAACCCATGGCTGCAGCTGGAGCACTGCAGGCTCTAACAGAACCCTTTGTATCCCTGTAGCCTTTGAACTGCACAGCCTTAGACCACGGGGCTTTCATGTTTTGCATTTTTAGAAATGAAACACTTGTGGAAGAGACATGAAAAGGTTCTGTAGATGCGGCGCTGCTGCGCTGAGATCTGCTCGGGGCACGGGGCATTGATGCCAGGGCTGCCACCTCCTTTGTGCTGAGACCCAGAGCTTGATGTTAACCCTGCACCTTTCTGGGGTCACTGCTACGGCTAGAGATCTCAAATATTCATCAGAACCAAGTTTCAATCAGGGTTAAATGTTTTTCCTATAAAATTATATGTTCTCTGGCATTTAGACTCACGAAAACCTCTTGTCTTAAGACTGCCCAAACTCTGATTCTGCCAATTCTAGGGTTAAAGCTGTTCAAGTCTAGAGTTGCTTTTTCTCTGTGATGGGCTTTTCAATGCTGTTTTTTTGTTCAGAGCTTCCAAAGGTATTTGTCAAAGGTTTAGTGGTGGGAGAGTGGAAGGTGACTGAAGTAAAACACAAAATAGAGTTGGTTTAATAAAACCCGTTGTCTCATGAACTGCAGAGCTTTGAAGTCAGCTTGGACTGTTTGCTCAGGTGTGAACCATGAACCTGCCAGTACTGCCATATTAATAACAAGGATTTTCTTCTCCTCCTCTCTTCTTGGGACAGTCTTCAGCCTGGCCTGGCAGAACACGCTCAGGGAGATGGTCAGGAAGCTGAGGAGCTGCTGCAGAAAAAGCAGCGCCTGTCGCTGGCCCCCTCGGACGGGACGTGTGTGGCCGCTCGCACCCGCCCCGTCCTGAGCTGCAAGAAGCGGCGCCTCGTTCGACCCAGCACCATCATGCCCCTCTCCAAAAAGGTGAGTTGGGGTTGTTTTTCTCTTTATTTCCTTGTAAAGATGAGGAAAAAAACAAACAACCAACAGGAAGGAAGAGCAGGACAGCAAGGCTTCAGAGGACATTGGAAAAATAAAGGAGAAGGTTGTAATGTGTTGGAAGATTTTTCTGAGCTGTCACTGGAAAGATGCTGAACTCTGAGTTTTCATTTTTTAAACCAACAAGCCTGAGGTGAACTCAGGGCTGGGTAGGTCAGTGTGGCACAGTTGGAGATGGAGAAAGAAGCCCTGAGAAGTCAAATATCAGGAAACCTTAACTCTGACACAGGAATTAGCAAAGCCCCAGGAACTCTGCTGCTGCTCAGGGGAAAACCACAGTTGTCTGCCCAGGCATACGTGGGATGAATGCCCCTGTCTCTTCCTGTTTTCTTTTCTTTATTGTTGTTTTTTATACTCCTCTCCCTTATGCAGAATTCATTCAATGGAAATAACAGTTTTATTGCCTGTATGAGGAAGGGCCGTGTTTCATTCTTTTTATTTTCTCTTAGGAATACCATAAACTGTCAGTTGGAGGGAAAATAGTGAGAAATGGAGGAAATAAGGACCTTTATTTGTGCATGCAGAACCATAATAGCAAAAATTCACTTACCTTGGAGACAAAGTGTTTCAAGTCAAACTTTCCCACAAGGGTTGGGGTTTTCACAATGTTTTAAAGAGAAGCTCCAAAAGCAGCATTTTTTTCTGAGCAAAACAGATTCTTGCAGAGCTGACTCAGCTTTAACTGGTCACTTATCTGCAGTTTTTATCTGGGATATTTCTGGGAGAGCTCTGCAGTGATTACTTGGGAGATCTTCAGCGATTTCAAAGTTGAACTTTCTCATGGTTGACACTGCCTTGTGCTTGAAGAATTGGCTGTTAATTCTGTGTTAGATCTCTGTTGTTGTCATCGAATACATTTGGTAATCAGAGATGGTTTAGAAGAGCAGTTCCAGGGATGGAAGAAGTGCCAGAGAGCAGGGGATTTCTGTGTGCTCCTCCAGTCATTCCAGAGACAGCTGAGTCATGGCCAAGTCCTGCTCCAGAAATACCATTTCCAGTTGCCCACACTCTCCTGCCCAGCACAAAGTGCTGTGGATTGAGCTTTGCACACACATTGCCCATACAACATGGGGGTTTTGATCTTGGAATGTTTTTATTGTTTTCCTCACAATTTGGTGCATGCATTTATGGAAATTTGTGCCCAAAGCTGGGGGCAGCCCTCCAGCTCACATGTTGGTAGAGTGGCAGGTTTGCCTTTTCCTTGCACAACCATTCTGATTAGAAAGCCCTGTGGGCTTAATTTTTGTTATATTTTATTAATTAATTAATTCCCAGCAGTGGCTCAGCACTGCTGATTCATGCTCATTTTTGGATCCATCACAGCCTCCACATCCTCTGGGCAGAACTTCCAGAAGTAGCAAAGTAACTGCTCTGCTACTTCTTCCTCCTCATCTCTGGGCACTGAGTTTGCTTCTTGCTTTTACCCTCAGTGAACTACACTGGATTTATTTTAGATCATTTCTCTTATCTTGTAACCAGGAGTGGGTTTCCAGCTCTTTCCTTCAGACAGCCCTTCCCAAAGTTGTGTTATTCTCTCTGGATATTCTCTCTGGATATTTTTCTCTCATCCTTCAGTTCATTCATGGAAATGATTTAAATAATTCTGATCCACTTTGATCCATTCTTCCATTTTGGTGGGGAATCAGAGCTTGTTTTCTCTGTGTGGGATTCACATCCAGTTGTGTGTCTGCTTGCAGTGGTTTCACACAAATGAAGTCTGTCTCAAGTCTATAAATCTGTAATTTGAGTCTCTGTCCTGGATTAAGGAACAACGTTGAGAAACACCTTTGTCACTCTGTAGATGTCCCTGGAAGTGTCAGCTCTGACCCATCAGAACTAAAAACAGCTCTTTTTCCCCTCCTCTGACAGAGGAATTGTGCTGCTTCATGGTTTTTATAAATGAGGTTTCAACCTAGATAAAATTAAACACTTTTAGTCAAATTTAGCAGCTGTTAAACTGTCTGTGCTGGTAAGCTGTAGTTTTCAGTTGTGTTTATGCAAAGTGAAAGCATCCTCTTGTGAGGCCAGACTAAATTAACAGGTTCTGTGCAAGGTATGCGGAAAAAAGGGGTGTGTGCACATAAATATATATACACACATTCTAATTATATATAGTATTTATTATTTGTTATTGTATAGTATTTATTATTTATTTTATTATATAGTATTTATTATTGAATATACTATATATATTCTACATAATAATTACAGTCTTACAACAGTGTTTATAAAAATCACGTAACAACTATTCAATATAGTATCTAGAAATAAAACGACTTTTTAATACAAATTCATTAATGAAATGTAACTATAACATATATTGGTGTGGTTTTATATATTTAATATGTATTATGTATATGGTATATAATGTATAATATGTAATGTATATAATGTATAATATATATGTTATATATTATATATCATATATCCTGTATTGTATATTATGTGTTATATATTATATATTCTATGTCCTATATCTTATATGATATATTATATACGATATGTTATATATTATATATTTATTATATATTATATATTATATGTTTTATATGTTATATATTCTATATTTATATTATATATTCTATATTATATGTATAATGTATATTATACATTATATATATTATGTTACACATTATACATATTATGTTACACATTATACATTATATATGATATGTTATATGTTATATTTTATATGTTATGTTATATGTTATATAGCATATGTTATTTTTTATATATATATTCCTATAGAATATGTATTTATATATCGATATACAAGGAATATTAAAAAGCTGTAACCACCTTCAGAATGCTTTTCACAAGGTGTCCCAGGGAGGGTCCTGGCATGACTTTGACCCCGTGTCCCCTGTGTTTGTCCCTCCCCTGTGCAGGCCCACCGGAGCAGCCTGGCACGCTGCAGCTGCGACGTGAACCCCTCGTGTGCCCTGTGTGGCACCCGCAGCCCCAGCAGCCTGGAGATCCAGTACGATGCCCCTTTGCTGGAGCGCCTGGCGCAGCTGGATTCCTGCATCCATCCTGTCCTGTCATTCCCAGATGGTGAGCGCAGCCCCCACGGCTTTGGTTGGGTTAAAGGGGATGCTCGGGGTGTTCTGGGCTTCCAGGGAGGTGCAGATCTGCTTGGGTGCAGCCAAATCTGTTCATCTGCAGGTGTTTTTTTACCTCAGAGCCTCAGGAAAGTCTGGGGCAGTGTTACACCTGCTGCATTTTGGGAATCTCAACCTGGAGCCTCACTTGTGGTGGTGAAACCATGGAGTCCTTCCTGAGAGCTCACTCTGGGGTCTTTAGGGCTCTAAACCACTTGACAAATACTTGCCTCCACGAGTTTGTCCATCTGTATGGAATGATTTGTGAATTGGTTTGTCACAGGAAATCCTTTTGACCCTGTGAGGAATTGTAAATGATCTTCCATGGTTGGGTAGGCACAGCAAGAAAGGATGTTCCCATCAGGACACTCAATTTCCTGTGTTACAGCTTCAGGGTTAATCATCATTAAGAGGAATAATTAACTGACCCTGACTGTGGGGTATTCACAAATTCTGTGTGAAGGGTCTTCTCCCAAGGGAAAAGCAGTTTCCAGAGTTTCCTTGAACCTCCTGACCAAGCCTTGTGTGTGGCACTGCTTCCCATGGGGGTGTCAGGTGGTTGGGCCAGGATAAGTCCCTGGACTAAAGTGTGTGCTTGGGTTTCAATTCCAGCTTTTCACGAACTCCACATGACAGTAGGAAATGCAGGGAGTGTCTGGGAGCAATTAATGTGGCCTCTTTCATTAGCACTATATTTAAACCAGACTAAAATAGTAAATTGGTGCTATTTTTAGCTCGATCCCTCCCCTCCCAAAGACACAGCTCTGATCAGGAGTGCTCAAGGAACTTCACCAACTCCCAAAACAGGAATTTCTTTCCTGATTTCACAGCACCTCTGATCATCATGATCACCTTTGTGTCTGTAGTGCTGACTCAAATATCGTGGGAAGTGAGGACACAACCTGTTGGGTGCTGCTGCAGCAGAGCCACCAAGCAAATTATCCCATATTCTCATTTTTAGGGCCCCCTGCGGCCAGCTCAGATTTTAGGGTCAAAAATCTGTTCTGGCTGCATGAGATTAAAAAACTTGGGGTTTAAAACTGACTGATGTAAAGCTTGAAGCACCTGTACAGAAATACCTGTTTTCCCCTATTGATGAACTTACTTATTCACTAATGCTTAGTGCAGTTCACAAGGGTTGATTTTTGGGATGGGGATGATTTCTGTCCCAAAAAAAAATCTGTTCAGGCGGGGAAAGTGCTGTGCCTGTTGCACTGAGGTGTCTCCCTGCATTAATGCAGGATGCTGCTGGGGCTGGGGGATGTGCAGGGGTTCATGGAGGGTTCCTGGGCTGGAGCTGTGAGCATGTGCTGACTTTCACTTTGAGCCCATCTCTCCGGGCTCTCTGGTGCCAGCCGGGATCTCCGGAGCAGTTTGCCAAGGGCAAAACTGCCAGGCAATGCAGGAGGAAAAGATCATTTATTCACTTATTCCCCTGGCAAGCAGGACACAGCCAGCAAGGCCTTTAACCCCTGCACTTATGCTCTGCCAGCACTTTGTCCCCTTCCTTTCAGGGCAGCGTGGTGGTTTTTTTGTGTTTTTTTGGGGTTTTTTTTTTCTGGTTGGTTTGATTTCTCGCTGGGAATTTTTGGATGATGTAATAACCTTGGAGGGAGGATGAGCTCTGGGCTCACTGTGGTTGCCATCTGCCGGTCCCTGGGAGCCCTGCACTGCTTCCCGAGGAGCAGGAGGAGGAGGAGGGATGGTGTCACTTGCTGCGCGGACTCTGCTGCCAGCAGGGCAGTGCCAAAACAGCAAAGAACTCATTTTCTGCTGACAACATTTCATCCTGGCGTTCTCCCCCTCCCTCCAACGTGTCCCCTCCTTCCACAGATGGTGTGGGATGTGAACTGGGAGGGGAAAGCCAAAGATGAGCTGAGAGCAGAGGCCATTTTCCCAGAGTCTGACCGCTCCAGCGGATGGAAGCCCAGCTCTGTGTTGCATGATTAATTTAAATCCCGTGTTCCCTGTCCCCCTGCAGATGTGCCGACGAGCCTGCACTTCCAGAGCATGCTGAAATCCCAGTGGCAGAACAAACCCTACGAGAAAACTAAACCTCCCAAAAAGCTGTCGCTGAAGCACAGAGCCCCCGTGCCCCCCAGCCTGGCTGACCCCGCGCGCAAGGACCGCCACAAGCTGGTCAACTCCTTCTTCACTGCAGCCAGTAAGTGCTGCCCCTGCCCACCTCATGGTGATGATGATGATGATGATCTTCATGTCCCACTCCCCAGGGTGAGGCAGGGCTATGGCAGGGTGCAGGTGAGGTGTGTGCAGGTGTAGTTTAGGTTGGTAGGGATCTTCTCACGCTCGGTATCAGCAATGCCCACAGCTCTGAGCACGCCTCCCCAGTACCCCCACACTGGGGAGAGTTTGTGGAGCTGGAAAACTCCACCCAACCTTCCTGTGCCAGCAGAAAGAGAGGTGAAAACAGGCATTTCATAGCTCTTTCTCTGTTCCCCTCCTCAGAGCGCTCACATCAAAAAGCCCAAGCAGACAAGGCACACAGGCCGCCTTTAGACGATTTTTCGGCCGTGTCCAAGGCCGAGAGAGCGCCAGAGCGCTCTGCCCAGCCTCCTGCCTTTGACAAAAAGCGATTGCGAGACTGCTCATCTGAGAGGAGTGAAGGTAGGCCCCCAGGGGCAGGTGTCTCGGGGGGAGCTTGGGCTTCGCTGCATCCCCAGCCTCTCCACCCCAGACACGGGGGCACGCACTGCTTCGGGCCGAGTCGCCACCGCAGCCATGCCTCGTGTGCTCTAAACTGCTTCTTCCCCAGGGCAGCCCCCTCGAAGGTGCTTTTCTTTCCTGCACAGTTCTCCTCAGCACCGGCCATTTCTGGTGCACATGGCCCTTTCCTCTCCTCCGCCGCCGCCGCCCCCTCGTTTGGGTCGGGTCTCTTTGCTGATGTCACTGTTCCTTTTCTCCCRCCCTCCCCRTGCAGTGTTGAAGCATCACACGGAYGTCGGTGGCCCGAGCTACCTGTCAGCAGCTGTGACCCCCACCCCTCACAGCCCCATAGCTCGGCAGCTCTCCACCTCCTCCGAGGGCTCCACTCCCACCAGCTCCGCGTCCCAGGGCACCTCTGGCAGTGCTGTGAGTATCCGTGACCTTCTGGAGGGGTTCTGGGCTCAGCTCCATCATGGGGGATCAGMTTTTGGGCAGGTTTTGGGCTGGGGGAATGCTCAGTGGTTCTCTTGCCACGCTGGACCCATCTGGGGTTGCTGGGTGCGTGTTGGACATGTTGGAAGCTGAATTTCCAGGTTCACCATCAGCTCAGCAACTGCTGGTGGACATTCCCAGGGTCCTTTAGCTTTTCTCCAC